GACAAGCCCCTGGCAGCTCAGGGCACAGGTCTCTGTCCACTGCTTTGCCATCCTGATGGGACGCCTCTGGGCGCTGGAGCCCGAGCTACCAACCCACAGCTGGCAGCCACGCTTTGCAGGGCAGGCTTCGCTCCCACCTCAGACCTTGCCAGGGACTCACTACTGAGTCTGCTGGCAGGAGACCTGGGGGTGGAGATGCCCTTGGCTGGGCCCAGGCCCACTTTGGAACCAGCGCAGCAGCTACCCATGGCCCAGGGCATCCTGTTCACCACCCCCAGTCCCTCAGCCAGCCCAGAGCTGCTTGCACTGCTGGAGGCAGCCCTAGGGTCTGGGGCATCCAGCCTTGACCCCTGCCCACCAGTCTTGCAAACTGCTGTGAGCCCCAAGAGCGGCACCCTGGCCACCATGGACAGCAGCGGCTCTGTGTTCCTTCTCACCTCCTCGCTCAACAGCTCCCTTGGTTCTGCATGCCTGTTCCCAGGCATGGGGGTTGCTCAGCAACATGACGGCCAAGTCTACCGCTAGTGCCTGGGCCTGTCCCCTCATCCTCCAGCCTGGATGACACAGAGGCCAATGTGTTGGGGCTAGTGGCTTCAAGGACCCCTGATATGGCCAGAGAAATGACTCACACTATACTCAGCCATCTGGCAGAGCCCCAAACCCAGGCCCAGCACCAGCACCAGGGCCAGCAAGAACCAACAGAGCAGCCCAGCACTTGTGGTCAAGGGATCCTGCTCCAGGTGGCAGCCTATGCAGAGCACGTGCATGTCTCCCGTGTCCCCCATGGCTGCTGCCCCTACCAGGGGAACTAACAGGATCGGGATGGGTCTGGCAGAAGACAGAGTTATCTGAAGCCTGGGGAAGGAGTAAAGCAGACCCAGCAGTAATGGAGTGTACCCCAGCTCACACTGGTCATCTCAAGCACTTTGGGTTGTCAAGGCAGGAAGATTCCTTGAGGCCAGGAGTTTGAAACCAGCCTAGACAGCATAGCAAGATCTTGTCTGTACCAAAATTTTAAATTTGCCAGGTGCAGTGGCAGATGCCTGTTGTCCCAGCTACCTGGGATGCTGAGGCAGGAAGCTTGCTTGAGCCGGTAGTTCAAGGCTACAGGAGGCTAGGATTACACCATTGCACTCCAGCCTGGACAACATAGTGAGACCCTGTCTTTGGAAATAATAATAATAATAATAATGGCTGGGTGTGGTGGCTCATGCCTGTAATCACAGCACTTTGGGAGGCCTAGGCAGGTGAATCACCTGAGGCTAGGAGTTTGAGACCAGCCTGGGCAATATGGCAAAACCCCATCTCTACTAAAAATATAAAAAACTTAGCTGGATGTGGTGGTGTACACCTGTAATCCTAGGTAGTTGGGAGGCTGAGGCACGAAAATTGCCTGAACCTGGGAGGTGGAGGTTGCAGTGAGCCAAGATCACACCACTGCACTTCAGTCAGGGCAGCAAGAGTGAAGCCTCATTTAAAAAAAAGTGTGCATCTATTATGTGCTCACTGCTGGCTCAGGCCCCCAACCTCTGGCTTTTTCCGTTAGCTAGATTTGAGTTGCAGGATCCAGAGCTAGCATAGTCATTCTCCAAACCACCCACACTGAAGGAATCGCTGGCTCCTTTGCCAGCTAAGGAACATGACGGTGATGAGGAATAAGCAACAGGGCCCGGGGCAAGCACTGAGTTCAGATCCAGCTTTTGGAAGGACAGCAGAAAGAGTGCAGAGCCTCTGCCTCGGCAAGCACTGGGCCCCAGGGAGCAGGGCAGGCAGAGCCCAGGGTACTGCTGGCATCCTGTCCTTCCCTTCAGGGCACCCTCTACCCATCTTTCTCAACCAGACTGATACAAAATAAAGATCAAGTCTCCCGGAGGCCAAGAGCCATTCCTGCTTCTTTAATTTCCCATTAGCCTTGAAGCAATTGGAGTTGGGGCTTCCCTGATGGGCAGCACAGGTGATCAGTAAACAGAGAGGGGAGAGCCTGGGTTGGTACTTTCAGCTTCCACCCCGGCTCTGCTCACCTCCTGTCTCCTGGGGCACTAGATGTGCGAGGTAAATGTTTTAATCTCACTTTCTAGAACAGACAGCAAAGCAGGGAAGCAGTTGAGAGGGTGAGTTGGAGTTGAATGGGTGGAAATTCAAGGTGAAGGGTAGCCCTGACCTCCTCACAGCGTTAGGTCCTCTCTGGACCACAGCCTTCTGAAAACAGCTTCTCAAACCAGGAAGCAAGTGTGACCAGCAGCGCTTCCCTTCCCTGCCATTGTAAAAGGCTCCTCTGATTTATTAGACCCTTATTCCCACGACCTCCACCTTCCACTTCCAAGAAAATTCTTCTCCAGCTCAGTAATGGCACCACTATGTACTCAGTTATTTTAGTCCCAAACCTGGCATCCCCCTCACTTCCTCTCTCCCCACATCCAATCCATCACCCACCCCACCTGCTCCACATCAGCCGAAATCTGACCTGTTCTCATTTCCCTGGGTCCAGTCCACCACTGTCTCTAACTGGTCTTCCTGTTCTTCCTCTTGTGTGGACCTACAATCCATCATTTCCCACACAGCAGCCAGCATCACCTGGTGAGAATTTAAATCGGATCCAGGCCTGCCCCTGCATTAAACTCACCAATGACTTCTACCACACTCTGAGTGAAATCCTAGCCCGGGATCCTATGCAACCTTGCTTCTCTGAGCCACCTGGCAGCCTCAGCCCCTGCAGCCCTGGGCCTTTGCAGTTGTAAGGATTGGGATTTCCTCCCCTTAGATCCTTGCAGGAGTGTGGGGAAGGGCTTCTTGTCACTCAGCTCTCAGGCCAAATGTCAGCTACTTCCTGACAGTGGCCTTCCCTGACCGACCCCTCAAATCATTACCATAGACTCTGTTGAATGATAATTAGCGGCTGGTGCAAATAGATGCTCAGTGCTGCAAAGAAAAATCGGCACTGAAACAAAGGATCTTTTAGCAACGCAATTTTTACTTCCTGGGCTACAGGAAATAGCAAGAATATGAAAATAAAAGAAAGCAGACATATTTATTTCTCAGGCCTGGATGCTCTTTCACACCACTTACAGGGGGAAGAGCAGGTAGAATGAGGTAATGACGGTCAGTGAAGGGTCATGTAAATCACGTGTCTTGGAGACTGAGGCCCAGGTGAGGAGAAAACCTAAGGCATCAGCACTTTTTTCCTATACTTGTCAAGAAATAACAAGGTCACTAAGATTTATGTTACTAATTCTTATATTCTAAGAAAAAGAGGAACCAGGTACAGAAGCAGAACTTGAAAGTAGCCACAGAACATGACCACTCAAGCACAGCACCACAGAGAAACAGTTAAGTCCCTGGGTGTCTGTGGGCCTCCGTGACAGCGTCAGGCCTGCCACAAGAGCTTGGGGGAGCGGAGTTTTCTCCTTACTCCCCCAGGAAGATGTCCCGCCATCTTGGATGTGTCCTCCCCTAGCTGGCTAAACCGGGTGCTTTCAGAGCACTGACACAGAGCACAGCCAAGGTGTCCTCCAGCAGCCCTTATGCGAGCGTGACAGAGGGCTTAGAGCATCTGGCTTTAGCGTCACCTCTTTTCCAATGCCATGTCAGTCCCATACTTCCTGAGGCTTATAAGTAAGATTAGAGATTATATCATTACATACCTATATGTATGATTAATATGAAGAGCTATATGATTATGTGATTAAACATCTGTAGTTATGATTACATATAAATAGCTATATGATTATGATTACATATAGGAATAACTATATCTCTAATTCTTTTTTCTGGGTTTTTTTTAATTGCATTTTAGGTTTTGGGGTACATGTGAAGAACATGCAAGATTGTTTACTAATTCTACATTTATATGAGAACATGCTGAGACTTCAGGCCCTTGCCTCGGCTCTTGCTGGGTTTCCCCCCACAGCTTAACAGTTACTAGCAGCTTATTCCTTGACAAGAAAGGAAGCTTTAAAAGGAAACTTTCAACTTCCCACAGGCGTATTTTTAACCAGTGATGTATTCACGTTTCAGCACTGAAAAGGCTCCCTCGGACCCCTGCATTCCCAGTTCTCTTCATAATTACGAATCTTTTTTTTTTTTTTTTTTTTTTGAGACGGACTTTCACTGTTGTTATCCAGACTGGAGTGCAATGGCACGATCTCGGCTCACCGCAACCTCCGCCTTCTGGGTTCAGGCAATTCTCCTGCCTCAGCCTCCTGAGTAGCTGGGAATACAGGCACGCGCCACCATGCCCAGCTAATTTTTATATTTTTAGTAGAGACGGGGATGGTCTCGATATCTTGACCTCGTGATCCACCCGCCTCGGCTTTCCAAAGTGCTGGGATTACAGGCATGACCACCCTGCCCGGCCTCATAATTACGATCTTTTTTGATGCACTTAGCTCCGAGTTCCTCCACGAAAGCGGCCGCTTTGTTCCAACTGCCTAGCGCTGCGCAAAGCAGGTGTCAGTAACTGTTGAATGGCTCAGGGCTGCGAGCTCAGGGCCGGCCCTGGGACGAGGCGGATGATGTGCTGCACCTCAGTTGGTTTCCGAGATGGACCCTCAGAAACCGCCCCGTGGGGCTCCAAAGGGGCAGATGCCCCAGCCTCCGGGACAGAATGAACGTGAGCGAAAGGCTGGAACAACCGCGCCGGCGCAGCGAGGAACTTCCGCTCAGAGCGAGGGCGGAAATGCCGCCCCTCCTGGGTGCCCGCCCCAGCCTCGCTCCTCTTGGTTCCCCCGGCCCCTGCCCCGCCCCTCCCAGTTCCCCCTCCGAGCCAACTGAAAAAAACAGTGCGCATGCGCCGGGTCCTCACCTGGAAGTGGCTGGATCCGGGGCATGCGTGTTTCCATGAGTGTGGCGGAGATGGGGAGCCAGGAACCCTCCGAGCCCCCGTCGCCGGGAGACGCGACGCAGAACAGCGCCCGGCCTGCGGACCGCCACGGCCTGTTGAAACACAGCTGTGGGTTCTTGGACTTCTGGGACATTGCGAAGCCTGAGCAGGAAGACGCGACTTGTGGCCGAGAAGCTGCCGGAGTATCTGCGCGCTAGGCCGAAGATGGAGCGGCGGGTTTGGGGCAGGGGCAGCGCACTTCCCGACAAGGAAGCGGCGGCGGGCCCAGGGATTTGGGATGGGGGCACGTGGTCGCGAACCTGGATGATAAGGTGCACGGGGTGTGCAGCTTCTTGTCACCGTTCAACGCGAGGGTGCGCTTGGTTCCGCAGGGGTCTGAGATGAAATACGCCCTGGAGCGGCTAATCACGGGACTCGGGGTCGGGCGAGAAACAGACCGGCCCTGCTACAGTTTGGCCCTGGCACAGGTGAGGTGCTGTTCCTGGCAGGATCCCAGCCACGCAGGTGAAAACGGTGGGGTGTGAGGAGGGCGGGTGTCTCAGCGCGACGGAGGGGCAGCCCGACAGAGAAGTCGGGAGTGTGTTGGAGGCCAGCCTGAGGGAGCCTCCTCACATGAAGGTGGAGAAAGCGTGAGCAAGGCCTGTCTCCAAAGCCAGGCAGGGGGAGTGGGAAGCAGAGCAGGTTTTCTTTCTGGTGCTTGCGTTACCCGGCCTCTTAGGTACACTTGCTGGGAGCAGTGAGCGCTGGGTGGGGTGGGCTCCCTTAGGCCTGCAGGGCATTCAGCTGATTGGAGTAGCCCACTCTCTGAGGAGCCCTGACAAGGGGAAGAGCAGTTAAGACCCAGGCCCGCCGGATCAGCCTGAGTGGAGCTCAGACCGGGCTATGGAGAGAAGACCCAGTGGCTGAGAATTTCAGCAGAGCAATCTAGGGACTGTAGAAGGTACTTTTGTGGCTAGGAGCGGTGGTGGCTCACACCTGTAATCCCAGCACTTTGGGAGGACGAGGCGGGTGGATCACCTGAGGTCAGGAGTTCGAGACCAGCCTGGCCAACAGGTTGACAACCCATCTCTACTAAAAATACAAAAATTAGCTGGGTGTGGTGGTGCACACCTGTAATCCCCAGCTACTGTGGGTGCTGAGGCAGGAGAATTGCTGCTTGAACCTGAGAGGTGGAGGTTGCAGTGAGCAGAGATCACGACACTGCACTCCAGTCTGGGCAATGGAGCAAGACTCCATCTCAAAAAAAAAAAAAAAGAAAGCTGCCAAGGCTCAGCTCCAGTCCCAGTCCCAGAACCACTTGCAGACGGTACTTCAGAAATCCTAGCGGAGATGGGGCAGGGAGGCAAGATTCGTTTCCGAGAGCAGCTTCAGAGGCATTCATGGGGTGCGACTAGGCACCCAAGGCTTCCTGGGAGGAGTTGAAGGGGGAAGGGAGGTTGAGTTGTGAGGATGTACTGGGCCACTTCCTGAGCCCCTCTTCCTCCTGGCAGCTGTTACAGTCTTTTGAAGACCTCCATTTGTGCAGCATCCTGCAGCAGATACAAGAAAAATATGACCTGCATCAGGTGAAGAAGGTGAGAGAGGGCCCGGGGAGGTCAGTAGCCCCGGGGGTGAGAGGCTGGGGGTGGGAAGTCCCACGGCCCCTCATGCTGTGCCTGGAAGAATCCTTTTCTAGTCAATGGTGAGACCTGCTGTCTTTGCAGACCTGTTCAGAGTGCTCGCCCTCTTTCAGTCAGGCTGGCTGGTGAAGGTGAGAACTTTGGGAGGACGGTGGGGGTGGGGGGTGTAGGCTGGTCTTGGATGGGTGGGGGACAGTAGTGGTCCCTGCTCATACCCTCTGCCCCTTTGTGGGGACCAGGACCAGGAGGTGCTGAGGAAGTCAGTGAAGCTGCTGCAGGCCCTGGCCCAGTATCAGAACCACTTGCAGGAGCAGCCCCAGAAAGCCCTGGTGGACATTCTCTTCGAGGTATGAGCTCACCAGCCTTATGGGCTTGGGAGACACTTCCTGCTACAAAGACATAAAGAGGGCTCAGATGAGAATCAGGAACAGCACTGTTCCATAGAAATATAAAGACATATAATTTGAAGTGTTTCAGTGACTTTGTTGAAAAGGTAAAAAGAGGCCCGGCACAGTGGCTCATGCCTGTAATCTCAGTACTTTGGGAGGTGGGTGTATCACCTGAAGTCGGGAGTTTGAGACCAGCCTGACCAATATGGAGAAACCCTATCTCTACTAAAAATATAAAAAAATTAGCCAGGCATGGTGGCATATGCCTATAATCCCAGCTACTTGGGAGGCTGAGGCAGGAGAATCATTAGAACCCAGGAGTTGGAGGTTGTAGTGAGCCGAGATCATGCCATTGCACTCCAGCCAGCCCAAGCCATATGAGAGTGAAACTCTGTCTCACAAAAAAAAGTTAAAAAGAAACAGGTGTCATTAGTAACATTTTACATCATCTAGTATATCTAAAATATTATTTCAGTATGCATTTGTATACAAAACTGTTGAGCTTGCAGGGCACAGTGCCTCATACCTGTAATCCCAGCACTTTGGGAGAGCGAGGTGGGTCAATCACGAGGTCAGGAGTTCGAGACCAGCCTGGCCAACATGGTGAAACCCTGTCTCTACCAAAAATACAAAAAATTAGCCAGGCATGGTGGCAGGCACCTGTAGTCCCAGCTACTCAGGAGGCTGAAGCAGGAGAATCACTTGAACCCGGGAGGGAGAGGTTGTAGCAAGCCGAGATCACGCCACTGCACTTCAGTCTGGGTGACAGTATGAAACTGTCTCAGAAAAAAAAAAAATCGTTGAGGTATCATTACTCTTTTTTTCAGTGTGTTTCAAAATCCAGCGTGTATTTTACATGTAGGCACATCCCTGTTCAGATTTGCTGCCTTTTAGGCGCTCAGCAGCCCCGTGTGGCTAGTGCCACTCTAGAACTGAACTCGGCACATGGCAGGTATATAAAACGTTTGCTGTTGTTCTCCTGGTCAAGGCTGGTCCCTCCTGGGCCTCCACTGCCTGACTTGGGAAGGTACACCTAGGCCTTTTTGCCACTGAAGAGAAAGGCAGGGGCTGGGAAGTCCCAGGCCAGGACTGCTGAGGAGTCGACCTCAGAGCCAAAAGGACCTGAATTTGAATCCCAGCTGTCTACCTTTTGTATAAAATGGGCTAGTCCTCTGAAGTCCCAAAACCAGGAATAATTAAATGGGTAGCTCTGGCTGGGTGCCATGGCCCACACCTTTAATCCCAGAAATTTGTGAGGGTGAGGTGGGTGGATCACTTGAGGTCAGAAGTTCGAGACCAGCCTGGCCAATACGGTGAAACCCCACCTCTACTAAAAATACAAAAATTAGCTGGGCATGGAGGTGTACACCTGTAATCCCAGCTGAGGTAGGGGAATCGCTGGAACCAGGGAGGTGGAGGTTACAGCGAACTGAGATCACACCACTGCACTTAGCCTGGGTGGCAAAGCAAGACTCTGTCTCAAAAAAAAAAAAAAGGCAGGTAGTACCGGGCCAGTTAGCATCAGCAAAATGCTTGTCAAAAACCCAGCTGCCTGGGAATTTGAGTTTTTTAGCAAATGGCCTCTGATGACTCTGATGCTTGGCCAGATGGCCCTGTGTCAGGAGGCTGGCAGGTAAAAGAGGCCACACTGGGCTCAGCCTGCAGAGGAAGCCACCATTTCTTACCTTTCCACCCTTAGGTCTCAGAGGCCATGTTGCAGGAGATGCTGCCAGAGGTCCTCAGCACTGACTTGGATGCGATGCTCAGCTGCCCTGAACAGCTGGGGCTCTTCCTCCTGGCCCAGCAGAAAGTGCCCTCTAGGCTCAAGAAGCTGGTGGGATCTGTCAACCTATTTTCGGATGAGAATGTTCCCAGGTGTGAGGGAGGTGGATGGATTTGCTCTCCCTGGGGCTGTGGGACTGCATCTGGCCAAGCCCAGATTGGCTGTGTAGCCTGGGGGTGCCCTGGCTACTCTTGGCACACTGGCCCTTGCTGGTGAGGCAAGCATTCCCTGAGTCCCCTGCCCCCCACAGGATGGTGAACATCCTGAAGATGGCAGTGTCCTCAGTGAAGGAGGAATGAAAGCTGCCTGCCGTCGCCCTGGAGCTGCTCTACCTGGCACTCAAGGAAGACAAGTTTCTGCACAGTTCTGGAAGGGGATGGTGGAACAGGGGCTGCTGAAGCTGCAGTTCTGGCCAGCCAGGTGCGTGTGGCATGTGGCCTCTCTCGGCCCCCTTCCCTGTCTGTGAAATGGGGCTGGACTACCAGTCCTGAGGTCCCTGCCAGGGGACCAAGGGCTCTGACTATGCTCGGTCCCATACTCCCTCTTAGCTACCTGTGTTTCTGCCTGCTGGGCACCGCCCTGCCCCTGCTGACCAAGGAACAGCTGCAGCTGGTGATGCAGGGAGACGTGATCCGCCATTACATGGAGCACATGTGCACGGCCAAGGTGGGCACCACCTGTGCAGCCCGATGCTGCTGGAAGGGCTAGGGAGGTGCTCTCCTTGCCAAGAAGGGGAGAGGGCACCTCAGGAGCCTGGCCAGAGACCTGGGTGTCTCCACTGTCTGGGTAGTGAGCTGCCTGAACCCCTTCCCCTCCGACAGATTGTTTTGAGTTGGAGTTTTCTCTTGTCACCCAGGCTGGAGGGCAGGCAGTGAGGCAATCTCTGCTCACTACAATCTCCACCTCCTGGGTTCAAGCAATTATCGTGCCTCAGCCTCCTGAGTAGCTGGGATTACAGGTGCCCACCTCCACACCCAGCTAATTTTTGTATTTTCAGTAGAGACAGGGTTTTGCCATGTTGGCCAGGCTGGTCTCAAACTCCTGACTTCAGGTGATCCACCCGCCTTGGCCTCCCAAAGTGCTGGGATTACAGATGTGAGCCACTGCTCCCGGCTTCCCTCTGACAGTTTTGAAAAGGAGCGGGCCCCCACTTAGGTGTGGGTAGCCAGCGGGCTGTTCAGACCACCCTCCACCCCTGCCCATGTTGCGGTGATGAGAACAGTCGTCATGACTGTGTTTGAGCACCGGTGTGCCTGGTGCCCAGTCAGCGCTGCTGGGTTTACTGTTCTCAGCAGCTCATTTTATCTTTGCAGCAAGTTTCCAAGAGCTGTCATTCTGGGTGAGGGGCAGACTTGAAGCATCAGGCAGTGGTTAGGTTAAGAGCCTGGGTTGGGCGGTGGTGTGCACCTGTAGTCCCAGTTACTCAGGAGGCTGAGGTGGGAGGATCACGTGAACCCAGGATTTTGAGGCTGCAGTGAGCCGTGATAGTGGCACTGCACTCCCGGGGCACAACTGGAGAAAATTAAAATGAGAAGAGCTTGGGCTGTGAGGCCAGACGTGGTCCTGCTGGGAGCCCTCTGACCCTGAGGAGTTCTATTCTAGGCATTTTTGTGTCTCACTTTACTCACCTACACAATGGCAGTAATGGCCAAGCGCAAAGGGTTGCTAAAATGCTAAGCCGCCAGACAAAAAGTGGAACACGGGTCCTGGCCCCGAGGCAGCGCATTAGAGGTGGTTGGGTTGGGTCCCAAAGATGACACAGTGAGGAATTGGTGGCGTAGGCCTTGAACCTGGGTCAGTCTGGCCTCTTAACCACTGCTCTGCCTGTGCGTTGAGCCAGGAAAACAGGCCATCCCCCTCAGCAGTGTGGCAGAGGGGCCTTTTGGGGCCAGAGGCACTGAAGCTGGGGAAGTCAGACCCGGGGTGGCCTTGACGCCAGACAGAAGCACTGGGGTGACCAGGAATGGAGCAAGCTCAGGCTCAGCCCTGCTGTGTGCCAGGGGAGACCCTGGGCCTCTGTTTAACCCTAAAGGCCGCAAGCCTGTGGGCTCAGCACCATGCCTAACTCTTACAGCTCCCAAACCAGTTCAAGTTCACCCCGGAGATGGAGGAATACATGGGCACTTTCCTAGAGGGATGCTGGTATGACCCTGAGCAGCAGCTGGCCGTGCTGGTGGCCTTCTTCCCCACCACCAACCACGGTCTCCCAGTGGTGCCTACCTTCTGGTGGGTCGTGCGGTTCCTGAGCTCTCGGGCCCTGCAGGGCTATGTGGCCTGGCTGCAGGGCATGTTTCTCCAGTCAAACCTGGACTCCTTGATTGACTTAAGCACCAACAACTGAAGAAAGCTCAGGATGCATCACTGCACGTGTGAGTGGACCGTGCGAAGGACCCGTCGTCCTTCAGGAGTTAGCTTTTCTAGCCTGCAGAGCCGAGCGACCCTGCCCCTCACCCCCCCACCCATGGTGTCCTGGCCCTAAACCATGAGCAGAGAGAGGGAAAGCACCATAGCTCTCAAGGAAACCAAGGTCCCGCACTGGCAGTTGGGAGCGAGAGAGCTTGGTTTTCTGTCTCTGAGATCAGTTAAAGGAATGTCCTGTTTTTGATAATTTGTTTTCTTTTTTTCTTTTTTCTTCCCCCCCCCCATAGAGTCTCACTAAGCTGGAGTGCTGTGGCATGTGGCATGTAATCTCAGCTCACTGCAAATTCTGCCTCCCGGGTTCAAGTGATCAAGTGAGTCTCTGCCTCAGCCTCTCCAGTAGCTGGGACTACAGGCACCCACCACCATGCCCAGCTAATTTTTGTTTTTTGAGATGGAGTTTTGCTCTTGTTGCCCAGGCTGGAGTACAATGGTGTGATCTCAGCTCACTGCAACCTCTGCCTCCCTGGTTCAAGTGATTCTCCTGCCTCAGCCTCCCAAGTAGCTGAAATTATAGGCATGTACCACCACGCCCAGCTAATTTTTGTATTTTTAGTAGAGATGGGGTTTCTCCATGTTGGTCAGGCTGGTCTTGAACTCTTGACATCAGGTGATCCACCCACCTTGGCCTCCCGATGTGCTGGGATTACAGGCATGAGCCACCACACCCGGCCTTAAGTTTTGTATTTTTTGTGGAGATGGGGTTTTACCATGTTGGCCAGGCTGGTCTTGAACTCCTGACCACAACCGATCCACCTGCCTCGGCCTCCAAAAGTGCTGGGATTACAGGTGTGAGCCACAGGGCACAGCCTGCTTTTGCCAGTTCTAAGTGGCTCACGTGACCTCGCCTCTGCGCCCCAGGCCTGAGCGAGCTGTGTTCTGGCTGCGGAAATGGATCATCCTCAGACTGGTGAGCCTTGTGGACAGCCTGCACCTAGGGATGGAGGAGGCTTGACGGAGGAGGTGGCCAGGTACGAGAGGGGCTGGAGCTTCCCGTGGGCATGTGGTCAAGGAATGAGCCCCTCAACTCATTCTGGTTTGTGTCCTCTGGAGCCAGAAGCCTTTGGGTTGAGTCATCAGTGGGGAGCAGGCACAAGGGGACTTGGGAATTCCTCAGGAGCCTGTAGAGAAGAGACCCAGGAGGCACCCCAGCTGCAGGCGCCTAAGAGGTTCAGGTGTGCTGTGCGTGCCCTGCAGGGAGCCTTTGCCCATGGGTGGCATCAGGGAAGCCTGCCCCACACCTGCCTCATCTGTGTCCGAGCAGAGCCGGGTGCTCACCTCACCCTCAGTGTGCCCGGTCGCAGGAGGGGGCTGCACTGGCCCCGTGTTTGCAGGAGCAGTGGTGTGACTCGGCCATAACCACACAGCCTCACGTCTCTTGGTTCTTTGAGGGGGGCACTGATTCTCTCTCCCCAGCTCTGGTTGAGCCATGTTCAGCTGGGGATCCAGCCCTTCCTGGCCCAGCCACCTCCAGCCTTGCCAGTGAGGGCCCTGAGGACTGTACCGAGAGCAGAAGGGGTCAGAAGGGCTCCCCTCCTCCTGGTCTTGAACCCTGGGTGGTGCCACCAAGGGAGGGGAGCCCATGGAAACAAACGGCCATGAACGGCACCAGCTGCTCTCCCGCCCACCCCAATTGTGTTTGTTCACTTGTTCTTCGTCACAAAGAAGCCCACATCCCAGATCCCTGAGACAAGGCAGCAGCTCTCCCTCCCTTTGGAATGCCAGGCCCAAGAGACCGTCAGCAGCACCTTCTTCAGGTGAGCCTGGGGTAGCCTGGGAGAGGTCCAAAGGTGGAAAGGCCTTCAGGACTCCTGCTTCCTGCAGTTCCCCTATGCTGGGGACAACGGCTGAGGCCCAGGGAGTCCTAGCAGGTCCTGGAGAGTTGGGAGACTGAGCCCTGGGGAGGGCAGAGGGAGGCGGCTATATTCACTCATCGGTCTGGTGACCAAGCCCTGGTCACCTAGTCTGCTGCAGACCCTCAGCATGCAGTTCAAGCTGGCACCAGAGCAGACCTGGGGCGGGCAGCCCTGGACCTACCACCTGGTTCATTTCGCAGACGTGCTGCTGAATCACAGTCACAGCGTGAGCCCCGTGACACCCCTCACTGTGCAGCAGTGCCGGGCCTGGGACAGGTGCGCGGGTGGGATTTCCAGGGGGTGGGCAGGACGCTGTGGTCTGATGGCAGCCGGGGCCTGAGGATCTGCCTGGCTCCTCACAGGATGCTGCAGACTCTGAAGGAGCTGGAGGCCACCTCCTCAGAGCCCAGGGCTGCCGCCTTCCAGCACCTTCTGCTGCTTGTGGGTATCTACCTCTTCAAGGTACTGTGGCCTGGGATGGAGGGGCCATGAGCCTGGGGTCCTGCGGCTATGAGGGCTATGGGGGGGAGCCAGGAAAGGCTTGGGGAGTTATGTTGGGAGGTTTCCTAAGCCAGCCTCATCATGGGTAGAATTATCATCCAAGGAAATGTCACTCCGGCCCCTTAGCAGGCACCAGCTGGTGTCCTGAGCTTTCCAGGCAGGCCTTCTTAATTCCCAAAACTTGAGGCAGACTCTGCTTTTCCATGTTTGACATGGGGAAACTGAGACTCAGAGGCAGAGTAGCTTGCACTGTACCCTCTGGCTTTGGGAACACCTTCTGGCCACGGGTTCTCTAGAACCGCGGGGTCTCCCTCTCATTTCTTCCCATCAGGAAGCCCTGACCACATTCAGCACTCAGTATCCTGATTCCTCTTTTGTTTGTCTGTTTTTTTGTTTTTTGTATTATTTTGAGACAGAGTCTCCATCACCAGGCTGGAGTGCAGTGGTGCAATCTTGGCTCACTGCAACCTCTGACTCCCTGGTTCAAGCAATTCTCCTGCCTCAGCCTCCCCAGTAGCTGGGACTACAGGCGTGCACCACCACGCCCAGCTAATTTTTTTGTATATTTAGTAGAGCTGGGGTTTCACCACATTGGCCAGGATGGATGGTCTCAATCTCTTGACCTCATGATCCGCCCGCCTTGGCCTCCCAAAGTGCTGGGGTTACAGGCATGAGCCACTGTGCCTGGCCGTCTGTTTTTTGAGATGGAGTCTTTTTCTGTTGCCCAGGCTGGAGTGCAGTGGTGTGATCTTGGATCACTGCAAGCACCACCTCTCTGGTTCAAGCAATTTTCCTGCCTCAGCCTCCTGAGTACCTGGGATTATAGGTGCCTGCCACTGTGCTGGCTAATTTTTGTATTTTTAGTAGTGACAGCGTTTCGCCATGTTGGCCAGCCTGGTTTGGAACTCCTGACCTCAGGTAATCTGCCCACCTTGGCCTCCCAAAGTGCTGGGATTACAGGTATAAGCCACTGCGTCTGCCCTTACCCTGAGTCTTAGAGAGTTTTCTTCTCACAACATGGGAAGCTCTTATCGAGGCTGCTGGTCTTACATAGCCTGAGTAGGTGGGTCTCTCACTTGCCCATCTGGCCTCTTGGCTGTGATGGCTTTACTTGCCAGCTTTGGTTAGTCTGAGCCCAGCCTGTGGATGAGTTGTGTGGGTAAAGTTTGCCCATGATGCCTCTTCTGAGTGTTGGCGTCAGACCTTTGATAGCCCTGGAGCTCTGCTGATTCCAAGACACACGTGGAGCCTGCAACCTTGAGGTCTCTGGTGTTGACTTGCACAGAGGAGGCTGCAGTTTGCTGTGCCCACTTTCAGATAAAAGGTGCAGCTGTGGCCGGGCACAGGGACTCACACCTGTCATCCCAGCAGTTTGGGAGGTGGAGGCAGGTGAGTCACCTGAGGTCAGGAGTTTGAGACCAGCCTGGACAACATGCTGAAACCCCATCTCTACTTAAATGTAATTAGCTGGGCGTGGTGGCAGGTGCCTGTAATCCCTGCTACTCAGGAGGCTGAGGCAGGAGAATCGCTTGAAGCTGGGAGGCAGAGGTTGCAATGAGCTGAGATTCTGCCATTGCACTCCAACCTGAGTGACAGAGCAAGACTGTCTCAGAGAAAATGAATAAATTAAAAAGGTGCAGCCCAGAGGACAGGGACCTGCGTGGCACACAGCCTGGGAGCCGGGGGCAGTGACCAGGGCTTTGGGCTGCTTTTCCTACCCTGGCCTAAACGTTGCCCACTGCATTTTGAGGGAAAAGTCTGTCTTTTAGGTACCAAAGATCACACAGTTGTCAAGATGCCCTGCACAGGCACACACTCCGCCACTTCAGTCCCTGGAGTCCAGGGCTGTCCCATCAGATGAGTTCAGATATGATTAAATTAGTTGAAACTAATGACTTTCAATTCTGTCTCATGCCGAGTCAAACATGGAGGAAATCATTTAGAATTATGAATTGGGGGCTGGGGTTTGCTGGCTACTCTGGGACCCTGACCATCCTTGTCAGCTCTGTCTGTCTTGAGTGTCAAAGTGGGAGCTGGCCTCCTTTTCTGTCCCCTGCAGGTTTTCAGATCCTGTAACTGCATATTAGGTGTAAAAAGGCCCTCAGCCCTTGGTATTCTGGGGTCCAGCTGAGGTCTTCCATTCTGGATTTCGGGGTGGCTGGCTGGGGCCGGCCAGTGGCTGGGCTGTTGAAGGCTTCTGGTGCCACTGCTGCCTTTTGACCAGCCCCTTGCCTGGCTCAGAATGGCTGTCCGCAGTGCGTGTCCTACCCTGTCCCCAGTCCCCTACAGAGAGCTGTGACCTGCTGGGTGACATCCAGACCTGCATCAGAAACAGCCTGGGAGAGAGGTGCTGCGGGAGCCGCACCAAGGCCATTGGTGGGTCCTTGCTTCTGGGACAGGGTGTATCCTTGGGTACGAGAGGGACTGAAGTGGCGCAGTGAGGACAATGGTCCCCTGCCTGGGCTCAATCCACCCTCTTGCAGATCCCCAGGAGCTGCCATGGGTAGAGGTGCTGGTGGAGATCCTGCTGGCCCAGCCCAGCCACCTCATGTGTCAAGTGGCCCAGAGCATGTTCGACCACGTCTGCTCCCACCTGACCCCGCGTACCCTACAGCTGATTCTGGATGTGAGTTGGGACCTTTGGAAATGCACTTTGTGCTGGGGCTCACTGAGCAGGGAGCTGTACCAGGTAGGGGAGCGCTTCAGCCTCCTAGCCTCCCTCCTGCCAGCCTGTGCCTGGTGGGAGGGGTCTCAATGAGGCCCTGTCCTGTCCTTGCAGGGTGTGGCCACCTCTCCTAGGCTCTGTTTTCTTCCCTGAAATGGGGACTTTTGGCCAATGGCAGGCAGGGCCTGGTCAGGAGGGTGGGGGCCACAGATGGGTCAGTGGCTGGGTCTCCTCCCCAGGTGCTGAACTCAGAGACCAGTGAGGATGAGGATGACCATGTGGTGGTGATGGACAAGTCTGATGAGCAGCGGCTGAAGGTTGCAGAGGTGCTGCCAGTGCGGGCCAGGTGGGGTGGCAGGAGTGGGAAGATCGCAGAGGTGTGTGACGAGCCTGCCACCACCCCACAGGAAAAGTGCGAGGATGGTGAGGAGAGCAGAGGCAGAGAGTGAAGATGAGAGCGATGTTGGGGAGAGCGAGGAGGAGGAGGAGCGTGACAGGATGTGGACCAGGGCTTCTGGGTACAGCTGATGAGTGTGCTGCAGGCTGCGAAGGCGCTGGTGAGCGGAGCCGGGGAGGGCTCTTGAGTCCCTATGTTGTGTGTCCACCTGCCCGAAGCCAGGCTGACTGCTGGGCCTCTGTCCCTCAGGGTGGAGTGGAAAGTGAGGACGAGGAGGAGCTGGGGGATGAGGCCATGATGGTCCTGGACCAGAACCTCGCCAGTCTCTTTGCTGAGCAGAGGCTGTGGATCCAGGCCCGGCAGGACGAGAAGAGCAAACCACAGAAGGAGAAGGTGCTGCAGAGTGACTTCCAGATTTGAGTGAGCCTGGGGGCTGGTGCCTCCACCGCCTCCATCACCGCCCCGCACCCACCCATGCCCTGCCCCCTCCTTGCTGACCAGCTCTCCCAGCTGCAGGTGCTGGACCTGGTGGAGGTGCTGGTGACCAAGCACAGCAGCCTGAGAATGTCCTGATCCTGGAGCTGCTGGAGCCGCTGCTGGGCATCATTCAGTGCAGCCTACGCAGCAGCAGCTCTAAGCAGGAGCAGGACCTGCTGCACAAGACTGTGTGCATCCTCACGTGAGCACGGGGGCAAGGCTGGCGGGTTTGGCCAGCAGTCCCCAGCCCCCAGCCCCCAAGCAGAACTCCTGGCTTGCTTGTTGTACAGGAAAGAGAGAGCCAAGCTTCCAGCCTGGGCCCTAGCTTGCAGGCTCACCACTCAGCCCTAGGTCACATGTCACTCAGTGACTCACATGGTCCTTGGTCCATCCCGGTGTTCTCCTGACATGTGCAAGTGGTGCCCTGGAGCTGGGTTCCATCCCAGCCCCTGACAGTCTCCAGTGGGGCTGTGTCGGGGTGGGTGGGGACAGTGGCACCACCTGTGGCTGGGGACACACACCCAGTCCTCGGAGGTGCAGTGTACATGGGAGTTTGTCAGGTTGGGAGGCCTTGGTGGGGAGTACAGAAAGGGGAAAGAGCATCCTGATGTGAGGCGGTCAGACATCCAGCTGGGAGGTCAGGTGAGGCGTGAGGCCACAGACCCCTGTAACCTCGCAGGCCTGACCCTAGTGGGGCTGGGGCCGCAGAGGCATTTTCAGCAGGGACATTTGGCGTGGGGAAGGCTTTGGATCTGGTTTCCCTTTTTGGAAATGGCTGGCGGTGTGGAGAAGGCTTTGGGCAGGGCTGTGCTGGAGGCAGGTCTAGCAGGGAGGTGATAGCAGGCGGGGGAGAGCCAGGCAGGCGTCAGGTGCAGACCTGCCTTCAGGGCTTAGGTGCTGGGTAGTTGAAGGCCTGGGCCCCTGGGCACTGCATGGATGGTCTGCAGGGTGGGGGGCATGACTGGTGGTCATCCTCCATTCCACCCCAGGCCACACCTTCTCAGATAGTTCTGCCAGTGTGCATGGACAGTGTCACTCATTGAGCATCCTGCCTCTTGTCCCCACTCTGTCCTGGCCTGCAGGGCCACATAGGGTTCTGAGTGCAGAACCCTTGCCTCGCTTTACAAAAGGCCTGGAGGCCACTTCCCCACGAGGGATGAGTATGGACAGGAGAGGTGTGCCAGGCGGTGGTTGGCCCTGGTGCAGGCCCCCACTTGGGGAACTGTTCTGTTCCCCCTGTGGGGTGCCCCCTTGCCCAAGCACGATGAGCTCACATAGCTCCCAAGCAAGCTGCCAGTAGCCCTGCCTTCCTCTGTGTCCTCAGTCACATCTGTCTTCCAGATCTGTTTCCTCACCTGTAAAGTGGTACTTGCTTGATGCTGCTTGGCAGAGCGGGGTGGATTGAGATTGTTCTGACCAGCTCTTGTCCTCACCACCTGCAGCCACCACCTGTGCCGTGGCCATATGTACTGCCACGACTTGGGTGACCGCATCGAGGCCGCCAGCCCGACTCCACCGCCCTCTACCACTTCAATGCCTCCCTCTACCTGCTCTGAGTCTTGAAGGGCGGCACTGCCGAGGGGTGCGTGCATGAGACGCAGGAGGAGCTGGAGGCTGGCACCAACCCCAGCCCCATGACCGAGGGCTCACAGGTGAGCAGGGCCTGGCCCAGGCAGAGCCCATGCACTTCACACTTCCCCAGAACTCACCCTCCACCATCCGAAGCTAGCCCAGTCTCCTCCCATCCCAGAGGCCCTCTCCTGGCCTCAGCCAGCTCTCTCACCTGGCCTAGGCTGCCGGCTGCCTGGACTTGAACTTCACGATATGCGTCTACTCATCAGTACTGAGCTCCTTCCTGACCAAGCGCCACAGCCCCCTCACGGTCCCCATGTTCCTCAGCCTCTTTTCCCGGCACCCAGTGAGTGTCAGGGCCCACCCTGCCCACTTGGGGTCCCCTCTCAGCCCCAGCCCCACCCACACCTCACAACCCTCCCTTCCCCGCCAGGTGCTCTGTAAGAGCCTGCTCCCTGTCCTGGTCTAGCACGTCACAAGCCCAGGGCGGCCCCACCAGCAGGTAAGAGAGACTTCCCGGCTCCCAGCCCAGGGCCCATGTGAATTAACCTGCTTAACCTGCTTCTGAGGCCCCAGAGTGCTGGCCTGGTGAACACGGGCGCAGCCGTCCCTGCCACACCGAGCATGGAGGCACTAAGGGGGCGGGGCCAGCTTCACTCCCACAGCCACCACTGCCCATCTGGCCACACAGAGGACACCGTGGTAGTGTCTGATCAGGTGCCAGGACTGCTGGGGGCAGACTGACTGAATGAAGATGGCATTAGCCAGGAATGGGTAGGAATTGTCCTGCCTGAGGTCCCACCTCTATCCAGCTGGGAGGCCTCCGTGCCCCCACCTGTACATGAAGGCACGAGAGCAGGTGGTCACGGAGTCCAGAGCAGCAGGTGGCCTTGCACGCCGCCCACATCCATGACTGGCAGGCCCCCTCACCCCCCTCAGCCTCTCATACCCAACATGCTAAGGCTCCAGGCACCCACCTTTACCCAACCACAGGCACAAGCTTGCTGCTCCAGAAGACCCTGTCCATGTGGGAGGTGAGGTCGTGCTTCCAGGACCCAGAGCGGAAGCAGCTGATCAGCCAGGTCCTGACAAAGGTCATGGAGGTAATAGCCGGGGGGCACCCTTCCTCCTGGCCTGCTCCGGATCGTTCTCTGAGAGAGGACAAGCCAGGATTGGAGCCTGAGCCTCCCGGAGTGTGGGGGGTGGGGAGACAGGGAATTGGGATTGTCCCAGGAGATGGTCCCTGCCTCTGGGCTTTAGTCCCTGCTTGGAAACAAAGGCTTTGACAGCCCTCCAGAGTACCTCAGCCTGGCCACCCCTCCCCTGAACCTGCGCAGACCAAGGCAGAGCACCAGCAGGTGCTGTCCCCCCTGGAGCTGCTCAGTACTGTCTTCAGGACCTGTAAACACGAGGTGAGGTGGGGCCCAGCCCAGGGCAGTGTCGGGTTCCTCCTGGGGGCCTCAGGGCCTCCCGGCATCAGTGCCATTACCCAGGCCAGACCTTGGGGGTGGGGGTCATGTGGGGAAGGTTCTCAGTGCCTTGGTTGGGGCTCTGGGCTGTCATTTAGGCAGTTACAGAGCTGTGGATGGGCAAGTGACTAGGGAAGGGACTGTGCCACCCTGTCCTGCAGGGCGGGGTGCAAGGGTATGGCACTGCCATGTCCGGTGAGAAAGCTGAGAAGGGGTTGGCAGGGCTGGAGTTGGTGAAGGATGGGAGAAGACTCAGGGTGGACATACGTTAGGGAGGCCATGTTTTCAGGCCTCGTGCAGGGTGTGGATGGGTGGAATGTGACATGTTGGGCAGCCACAGGGCAGGGTTGGGAGGCAGCTGTAGCTGGCCATCTTGGTCCCCTAGTCTGGCCTAGAGGGCAAGGTTTGGGAGGCCTCAGCATAAGTGCCAGTCAGCCCTTATGGAGGGAGAGCTTGCCAAGGCTACACCAGCAGGCAGAGGTGGGGCCTGGGATGGGGCCTTGCAAAACTGGGTGATAGCGAGGAAGCCAGGAGAGCGGGGGGCTCCTGGAAACCAGCAGATTCCAACAGTAACCTATTCAGGATGTGCAGGGAGGCTGGAGGAAAGGCATTGGCAGCCCCACGGTGATGGAGTGGTGGGGATGGCCCTCTTGGAGGTGGGTGCACCAGTGCCACGGTGGAGACTCAGACCAGGCCTGCAGCTGTGGGGAGGAGAACCAACACCTGGGCATGTGTTTCCTCCAATGGTGAGACAGACACGGATGCCTTAACAGGCAGAAGGAGAGGCTGAGGCCCAGGAGACTACAGGGTTTGCTGGTGAGACAGCAATGGGGCCAAGGTGGGAAGACCACCAGGAGCCCCAGAGAGGCCTGCCCCTGTGGCCACCACCGCCCTGCCTTCCCATCCTCTGCAGAAGCTGACCCTGGACCTGACAGTGCTCTTGGGCATGCTGCAGGGGCAGCAGCAGGGCCTGAGGCAGGGGGTGCACTCCACCAGCTCCAGCCGCCTACTTGACCTCTACTGGCAGGCCATGAAAACCCTGCCTGGGAGTTCAGTAGGTACTGGGCAGGGGATGCACACTTGGGCGGGGCTAGGATCACCCTCACACTGCTGCGCACACTCCGATGTGGGATCCCTGGGCCTCTGGAACCCCACGGGACCTGGGTGGAGGTGGCTTCTGCCCTCACTGGGCACCTTTTTACCGGCTTATTCCCCTTCAGGCACCCCAAGTTGGAGAAAGATACCAAGGAGATCCCCAGCGCCACCCAGAGCCCCATCAGCAGGAAGCAGAAGAAAAAGGGATTCTTGCCAGAGACAAAGAATTGCAAGAAACAGGTCAGAGGATGGCACACTTGCAGCCACCTGCGGGAGCCAGCCAGCACATGCAGCAAGAGGACAAAGGCCAAGGTCCCAGACCAGGCCAACGGGATGCCTACCACCAAGGGCCCAGTCCCTGGCGCTCCCACCCTGAGCCCCAACACCCCTGCCAAGTCCACAAAACTGCATAAGAAAAACCGGAAGCTGTCCAAGGTGAATGGAGCTCCCAGCTCCCCAATGAAGCCTGTAGGCCAAAAGCAGCACCACGAGGCCATTCCCAAAAAGGGGGTCTTGGACAAATCACCGCCATCCACACTGGCACAGAAAAAGGCAAGGTCGCCTTTAGTCATCAGGAGCCCCAGCCTGCTCCAGAGTGGGACCAAGAAGAAAACGCAGCTGAGGAAGGTGGGGAAGCTGAGTGCAAGCCACCCTCAGCCTCCATCTGCCCAAGACTCCTATTTTTCCACCATGATTTGAATATGCAAGCCATTTCTAAGGCTCTGTCCCCAGGGAGGTTGTCACTGCCTGCCCAGGCATCCTGCTCTGATAAGCACAGCCCAAGCTGTTCCTGCAGGGGTCCCAGGATGCAGAGACCCCCCTGGTTCTAGGCTGGGACTGTGGCTTCAGGGCCCTGTGGGCCAGGTCCAGGGCTCTGGGGTTCACCTGGGTGGATACAGGGCGACATGCTGGCTGCAGGCTGGGTACAGGTGTGACCGTCTTTTGCACCCCCCGCCCCAGGCTTTTTTGCTGAGGGAGCCACAGGGAGTGATTTAAATAGGTTTATTTCTTCATTTACAAGAGGAATATATTTGGCTTCTCTCTTAAGACTCTGAGATTCATAATCAGCAGCTCTAAAAAATAAAGGAGCAGTTTGGCTTCTGGAAGGAAGAGGAGGCAACAGTTGGACCTGATTCTTGTATGACAAGAAAACATCACTGGGGCCCTGGCTGAGGCTGGGGTGGAGGCCGGGCTTTGTGGGGTACCAGCCCACCCTTGTCAGGCCTCCCCGGGTACCCCACAGCTCCATGGGTGGGTATTCCACTAGCTTACACCCACTGAAGCCACAGCCAGCCAATAACTAAGGGATGGAAAGAGCACTGTCCAAGCCAGCTCTCAGGGTCTCCTAACTGGCCCCTTGGGCCCCAGACACCAGCACTGCCTTGATGGCAGCAAATGTGCAGGGAGTGTATGACACGGGCTAAACTCCCCCAAAGGGGTTTGGGGCTGGTGTGACGTTGGCAGCTGTATCCTGGTATGCGCACAGGCATGAGTTGGGTGATCAAAGCCAGTGTGAAGGCCTGGCCCTGGGGGTCATTTGTGTGATAGGGACTGGCATCTCCCAGTGCCTCAGCCCATGCAGGAAGCTTTGTGGAGAGCTGCTTCCTCCAGCAGCAGAGCCCTGGCGGCTGCCCCATGGATTCTAGAATGGTCTCCTGGGCCCTGACCCTGGCCAAGGCTCAGCCCAGCCTCTAGAGGGAGTGGGTTCCTGGCTTGGGGTGGTGGCAGCGAAGGGCTAGACAGCCGAAATATTCCTGGGGCCACCGGGAGCCCTGCAGAGGTTGGCTGGTGTGTGAAACCCTGAGACCACGAGGCTGGGGCCCAGGTGCTGCGCTGCTGCAGCCAGGGCCTTCACCCCTCGTGATGCCAGCTTGTCAAAACAATCCCCACCTGGGAGCTCCTGCCTAGCAGCCAACCCGAGATAGACAGTGGCCTCCAGAGAGACTGGCCCAGCCAAGCCAGGGGGTGCCCAGCTTCATCTCCCAGGTTGAGTCTGATGTACCCAAGGTCAGAGGCCAGCTGAGAAGCTGCAGTCCTGCATGCTGGCCCTCACCTGGGCCTCAAAGCTGGGACTGCCTAGGCCATTCACTCTCCGTATGGCCCAGTGCCTGGTGAATCTTCAAAGCTGCAGATCGTGCTTTGCTCAGCAAGTTGCTTGGGAAAGTTGAGCCCCCTGGCCCTTTGTTCCAGGGAGGGCAGGGACTGGCCCAGGATCACATAGGCTGGTGGCAGGCCGGGCTCTTGGCAGTACCCACTTCGGGCTGCCTACTTCCTTGGCCCCAGGGGCCCGGCAGTCCAAATCTAGGGCCAGGAATCTGTCCAACCTCATGGCTCCAACACACACAGCCTTCCAGGGTGACTGAGGACACTGCCTCTTCCTGCAGCCAGGGCCACTCAGCAGGCCCCTGCCAGAGCGGGTGGGCACCTAGCTGTGGATAACACAGAAAGCCTGTGGGCAGCAGCCCAGGTGGTCCCGGATGCTGTAGGACACCTTCCAGACTAGGTGGGAGTGTGGGTTTTTCATTGTCCCAGGGGCACCTGGGGAAAAGAGCATTAGGTCAGAAACAGGGCTCAGTGGGGCCCCCTGCCAGGCTGCCCTCCCTCCTCCCCTTGCCGTTGAAGCAGCAGGCCTCCCCCTGGGCTTGGGGCTGTGACCCTGGTTCTCGTGCTGCTGGGAAGCTCTAGCTCCCACCTGGAAGGTCTCAGGAGCCAGGCCCTGGTACATCCACGAGGAACCGGAGGGCAGAAGTCCAGATAGAGTGGGGAGTTCCAGCCAGGCCCCACCCAGCCCTAGGAAGGAAGGAAGGAAGGAAGGAAGGAAGGAAGGAAGGAGGGAAGGAGGGAAGGAGGGAGGAGGGGGGAGGGAGGGAGGGAGGAGCCCTGACCCGTGGTTCCATCAGTGAATTCTGGCAACATCAGAGTCCAAGCCTAGGGTTGGTGGGGGGTGCTGGGGCAGGAGGACTCCAAAGGAAGAGTGCTCCCTGTCACCTAGCCTTGGCCTTCCCCCTCCCCAAGGGCCTCCCTGCCTGCACTCACCACCTCAGACTTCCACAGATGCAGGCAGCATCACCCGCTGGTTGAGCCTAGGGGAGAGACAGGTGGGGGTCAGGATGGCACGTCAGCAGGGGCTGGACCCGGGCACTGCTCTGGCACATCGTGTCGTGGGGGCCAGCTGACTGGAGGTGCTGGGCAGGGACTTCATCAGCCCAAGGGGGAGGTGGGAGAGCCCAGGGGTGGGGAGAGGAGTAAAGAGGAAAGGAGAAAGCAGTCAGAAGGTGAGAGGAAAAGGAAGGGGGAGGGGTCCCAGCTTTGGAAACCACCAAGTCCAAGCCTGGACCCATCAGACATCCCTGTGACCCCGCACAGCTCCAGGCTGATGCTGGCACTGAGCCCCACAGGCGTGGGGAGGCCCAGGGATTGGACCCCAGCAACCAGGTCACCCCCTGGGTGCACCCAGGTCTCGGTCTCCCCTCCACCACCCCCTAGCAGGGCTCCCCAGCAGGCCTCCCCTCATCCCCACTCACTGCTGCTCAGCCTTGGCACAGTTGCTGAGGAAGAAGAGCACCATGGCGAGGAAGAACATGACCCCCAGGATGACAACAAAGGGGCAGAGCATGACTGCATAGCCCAGGCTCAGGAACTCCCAGAGCAGGGAGTCCTTGGTGCTCTGGCAGATCAGGTCTGAGATCTGTGAGGATGTGGGGGTGGGTGTCAGGGCACAGCCCCCCAAAACCCTCAGCCTCCCCAGGCCAGCCCCCTCCCAGGGTGACTCACAAAGCTGATGAGGTAGGAACTCCTGGCGTCCCCCGGCAGGTGGGAGGTGAAGCTCTGCAAGACCACAGCCGTGGCATGCCAGGTGGGCATGACCACGTACTGTGGGATAGGTGGGCAGGTCATCAGCCCAAGGAGCCGGGCCCAGCCCAGCGCCTGGCACCTCCGAAGCCCCACACCCTCAGACTCAGTCCTCTCTCTCCCCTGGACCCTTCCCTCCTCCCCGCCAGCCTGGCCGCTTTTTCCCACCAGGCACCCCTTTCCTCCCTTAGCCCCTCCACCCACACACAGCTTCAGTCAGCCCCAGGGGCTTCCCCACATCCAGCCCAGACCAGTGCCACCTGCCCCAGATCGAAAGCGTCATTGGCCTCAAACCTGCTGTGCCCCTTGAAACGCCCCTCAGAAATGGGAATCTTCACCTCCCTCCCAGCTACTTGCAGCAAAGGGAAGGTAATTTGGGGGCTGCCCAGCTGCCAGTCACTAGAGGCCATTAGCCCAGAGCCCTCTGAGCCTCGCAGGACCCCAGCCATCAGAAATGGCCATGCCGCCACCTTTCCTGCTCAGCTCTCACTGTTCCTGAGATCAGGCTGCCGTGGCTTCTGCCCTTGGCCCATGGTCACGGGGACACTGAGGTCCAGAGAGGTACATGTTCCAGGGGAACCTGAACCCCAGCTTGGGCCATTTGTCCTCACTCCCATCAAGCATCAAGCTAAAGACCCATCTTGGTTCCCCTCCCTGAGGACCAAGTAAGGCCTGACGCCTGGAAAGGGAGCTGGTGAGGCAGGCATCTGCCTGGAGGAGCCTCTGCTCACACCTATGGGCACCTCAGCACTGAATGCCAGGTACTGCTGGGCCCCAGGCCCCCATCAGACCAAGCAGGCCTGAGCCACAGGAGGCGCACTTCAAAGCTGGGCAGGCCAGAGTCAGGAGGGGCTGGGGTGGGGGCAGGACAGGCACGGTTAGCTCTGTGGGTGCCCTGAGCCCCTGTGCCCTGAGCTCCAGCTGCCTCACCTTTTCGGAGTGCCAACCTTAGTGGGCATCAGCAGCCAGCACCCATGGGCACCCCATTGCAGGAGAGGTGGGGGCGGGTGGAAAAAGGCCTGAATCTGGCCAGAGTGGCCTCGTTTCCAGCAGGAGTAAACTGACACTGATTAAACTGGGACACAATTCTCCTGGGACCCTGACCCTGCTGGCAGCTGTCAGGGGCTCCCCTGGGGGTGGTGGAGGAGGGGTCCTGGCCAGCACCAAGGGCACTTGATCTGCACAGACTCACTCCTCCCTTCATGCTGGGCCTGGACGGGGACCACAGCCCATCCCTGCCACTGCCTGGCTCTGTGCTGAGGCTCAAAGCTGCATCAGACCTCCCCACCACCACCCAGCCCATGGACCCAGGGGACAGAGAAAGACAGCCCAGGAGGCTCGGGGTGTGCAAGGCAGGCTTTCCAAAGCACAGGAGCCAGCAGGGGCCATGGAGCCTGGCAGACTGATCTCCTGGGCTGTCCCATGCTGGGCACCTGACCCCCAAGCACCCTGAAGGTCCACCCATGAGTCCTTCCTCTTTCTGCCCCAGAGCCTGCCCTGACACCTCCCAGACACACTGCCCTGTCCCCTGATGACCCTGGCCAGGCTGATCCCTGGGCATGGGACCAAGTGTCACACCCCTGCCACCCCCAGATGGCCACGAATTCCTAGCCCCCTCCTGGTGCTCCCATTCCCACCCAGGGACACAAGCCCCTGCTCGCTGCTCAGACAGCCCTTTGTCCCCAGCAGGCTGGGCTGGAGCCCATTGTTGACACAGTGAAGATGGCCTCTTTCCGCCAGCCCCAGCCACAAGCACTTGGGCAGGTGTGCCTGGCAGCCAGGCTGAGCAAGGAGGGGCAGAGCCCATGGACACTCAGACCCGGGGGGAGGAGTGCTGGCAGGCAGCAGTACCTCGGTGCCAACCTGGCACTGCCAGCCTCCCAGACACTAACCTGAGCCTTGAGACACCCCTCCCCACCCGGTCCCCACATCTCACTCTGCCCACCCAGCCCTCTGCTTCCTGGATCTGTCCAGACGCAGACCCCAAACTCTGATTCCCTCCCTGCCTCTGGCTTCACCTTCCTGGCAGGCCTGCCTTCCTGCCCACTCCCAACCAGCTCTCCCGCCCCTTCACCCACCCTTCCCAGCTGCCCCTGTGAGGTCGAGGCCTGGGTCAGCCTCAGCTGTATAAGGTGATCTCTGCCTGCCTGGCTCACCATGAGGATGTCGGTGGTGATGGCCCAGTTGGAAAATAGCAGTGTCTCTCCGATGAAGATATGGATCTGCCCAGGAGAAAGCAAAGCAATCATAAGGGGACCCTCCCTCCGC